TTCAATTCTTAGTCAACCAGTTGTTGACCCCAAAAACGAATCCCTAGGTCTTCCCCAATACCAATATCTTACATCCTCTAATGTCCCATACTTAGAAAATGCTGAAGAAATCTCAACTCTTTAAAGGGAAGGAAAGTTTGAAGACCTGTGTGAGTCTCGGAGTCCTTCTGCATACCCTGAACATAATAGGAATTGTTGTATTATAGATGTAAAGAGAAACCCCAGAGAAACCAATCTGGTCATAGTAGATGACCAGACGAAAGAAGCTAATGCCTCAATAAAGTCTCCTCACCCATTTCAATCTTGGTCTACTGTTGAACCTCTACCAGAACTAAAGAGTGAACCACCTGTGCCTTCTCTTGAATCTCCCCCGCAACTAGAACTAAAGCCCTTATCAAACTTCCTTAAGTATGTGTTTTCAGGACCCGACCAAACACTACTGGTGATCATAGTCGCGGACTTAACCCCTAGACAGGAAGAGAAACTGATCGAGGTATTAAAGGAGTATAAGAGTGCCACTGGTTAGTCTGTAGCTGATCTGAAGGGGATTAGTTTGTCCATTTGTATGCACCATATTTACACAGAGGAGGGTGCAAAACCAAGTAGGGAGATACAAAAAAGTTGAACCCAAATATGAGAGAGGTGGTCAAGCAAGAAGTAGTTAAGTGGTTAGATGCGGGTATTATCTACCTGATTTCAGATAGTAATTAAGTAAGCCCTACGCAAGTGGTGCCTAAGAAAGCTAGACTCACCGTGGTCAGTAATGATCAAGGTGAAATAATCCTTACCCAACTTACCACAGGATGGCAAGTGTGCATCGATTTTAGGAAACTTAACGTAGTCACGAAAAAAGACCACTTTCCTTTGCCCTTCATTGACCAAATTTTGGAAAAACTTGTTGGGCAAAAATATTTCTGCTTCTTAGATGGTTATTCTGGGTATAACCAAGTAGTCATTTACCTCGAAAACCAAGAGAAAACTACATTTACCTGCCCTTATGGAACATTCGCCTTCCGACGAATGCCATTTGAATTATGTAATGCACCAGCAACCTTTCAGAGGTGTATGACGGAAATTTTTTCGGAAATGGTGGGTGATTTCCTGGAAATATTTATGGATGATTTCTCTATCTTTAGGGATTCCTTCGAAACATGTCTCGAACACTTATGAAAAGTTCTTTAATGATGTATCAAGAGAAACTTGGTCCTCAGTTGGGAGAAGAGCCGTTTTATGGTCAAAGAAGGCATTGTGTTAGGTCACATAGTTTCCAAATGGGGTATTGAGGTGGATAAAGCAAAAATTAACCTAATTTCTAAACTTCCACCCCCCACTTCTATCAAGCAAATTTGTTCTTTTCTTGGACATGCCAGCTTCTACTAACGATTTGTTAACGACTTCTCCCAGATCTCTAGGCCATTGTGCAACCTTCTAGCAAAAGATGTCCCATTTAGTTTTAATGAAGCATGTCTTAAAGCTTTTGAGTACTTGAAAGAGGCACTGACCAAGGCTCCAATTCTGCAACCTCCTGACTGGTCTTTGCCCTTTGAAATCATGTGTGCTGCCTTCGACTATGCCATCGGAGCTGTTTTGGGACAAAGGGTGATTTAACATCCTATGGTAATCTATTATGCAAGTCGTACCCTCTCAGACGACCAATTGAATTATACCACCACAAAGAAACAACTGTTAGCTTTTGTATTTGCTTTGGAAAAATTCCGCCCTTACCTATTAAGCACTAAGGTTGTTGTATATTCTAATCACTTGGCCCTAAGACATTTGTTTTCAAAGAAAGAGGCGAAACCCAGGCTCATCAGATGGATCTTTCTATTACAAGAATTTGACCATGAGATTCGGGACAAAGGGGTCCAGAAATGTGGTAGCTGACCATCTGTCCCGAATTCAAATTGAAAAAAGCAAGCCCGTCCATAACTATTCCTTCCTAGATGAGCACCTCTTACCTATCTCTCATAATGCTCCCCCGTGGTACACTCATATTGTCAATTACTTAGTAGTAGGTAAAATTCCCAAGGGGTGGTCTAAGAATGAGAAAGACAAATTATTTTCTCAACTCAAATACTACTTCTATGAAGATCCCGAGGTACTTCTGTCATGAAAAACTTTTGAACCGAATCAAAAGGTCTGGCTTTTTAATTCTAGGTTGCGTTTGTTCCTTGGTAAATTAAGGTCTAGGTAGGGCAGGCCATTTATTGTGGAAAAAAGTGTTTCTGTATGGTGCAATTAAAATTGTTGATCCAAAGAATGGAAGCACGTTCAAAGTAAATCGTCAAAGACTTAAACCATATGTGGAAGGAGTCTCTGAGAGCAGAAAGATTGAGAAAATAGGCTTAAGTGATCCAGAGAAAATGGTGTATGGTTGAAGACGTTAAACTTAGCACTGGTTGGGAGGCAACCCAACGTAGTTTTCAGTTGTTTTTGTTTTTATAATTAGAGTTTTTGTTTCTTTTCTTGATTCGAGACTACTTGGCAGACCTTGAACCCCTTGGGAAAACCCTCTTGATTGATCCCTTTGGCCCAAGTCCCTTTGCAACATTCTAGTCATGCCATTAGGGATAATGGCACTTAAGTTGGGGGTGAGGAAAAAGAAAATAATAATAATAATAATAATAATAATAATAATAATAATAATAAGAGATAAGCCTTTAGAAATGTAGAACTAAAAATTTTACTAAGAAATTGTTAAGTTTTTCCATTAAAAGAGATTCCCAAATAAAAAAAGTTGAGGAAACTGGTAGAAGAATATTGAATTTTGTAGAAATTGATAGCAAGTTATAAGAGTCAAAATTGGTCTTGTTTGAATATTGTCGAAACCATTTAAAATTGGAAAATACTCCCAAGTTTGCCCCTAGAAGGATAAGAAGAGAAAGATTGAGAAATTAGACAAAAATTCTTCAAGTCATTAGAAATAGTAGACTATCCTGAATAGTGTTTCCAAAAAAAAAAAAAACCTACACTTAGTAACCGGGACTCTTCACCTAAGTCAAGTGTTGATATTCGCGTCAAACGGAAAAAGGAATGCCAAAAACAATTACCTAACACTTAGTAACCAGGTCTCTTCACCTAAGGCAAGTGTCATGATTCACATCAAATGGTGGAAAGTAGCAATAAAAATAAGTGTGCATCTCAAAGTTCAAGGGTAGAAATCCATTGTCAGAAATGGTAAGAAGAATACCTGTCCGATTTTGAAATCAATCTCATATTTTCTTGACAAACTGCAAATGGAAGAGTATATAAGATTTTTAAGCTAAGTTTCTGAAATATTCAAAGCAAGACAGTTTTACCCCTTAAGCCCAATACTGACGTATACAAAGTTTGAGAATTCTGGAATCAGGATACTTGGCTGATTTTGTCAAGGATGATCTTGCTAAGGGAATGACTTCTTTTTATACTCGGTAGGATTTTAAGGCTGCATTGCTAAGGGACTAGTAATGATCAAGTTGGGGGTGTGATAACTCTGAATTTTGATGCCTTAAGGGGCATCATTTCAGTGGTATTTTAGAACTTAGAATAGTCAAAATGTGTCTTTATCCTAGTTAAATTCAGTATTGTGACCTTTGAGGGTTCCTATGCAGATCTTGGGGAAAACAATGGAAGTTTCAGGGCTAAAATGCAGTTTTTGGGAAGCCGGTGTGAATTCCAGCTAAGAGAATGGGTGTTTCTGTAAAAAACTGAGCACAGGAGGGCACCTCTAACAAACCCTATCCGCCCTAGGCTATCAAATCTCCACCCTCCACTCTCTCCTAACCTCTAATCTCAACGATCCAAGCCTTAGCAGCCCCTCATACCCTTAGCTCTCTCCCTATACAACATCCTAGCCTTACACCTCACTCCTTAAACCTCAACCAATCACCTTAGGGTGCCACATCACAGACCAATCACCTTTCTCCAGCTATAGGCGCCTAAATCTGCACCCTCCATTCTGGGCGCCCAAATCTCAGTCCTACATAATATTGGGCGCCCTCTCCTCCTCTTTTCAGCCTTAGGATCTCCTTAGAACAATCCTAACCCTCCATTCTCAAACCTTAGGGCGCCCATATTTTTGCATAAACCCAAGAGCTGCCCATTTCTTCCTCTCTAATCCCAGTTATGTCCACCCTTCTCTGTAAAAATGACCCAAGGGGCCCTTGAGAAGGGGTTGGTCAATTCACCCAATTCACAAGGCTAAGGTTTCTTGAAGAGTTCAAGGGTTGTAGAAGGGAAGGACGCCCAGATCTTGTCAAGAGGGGTTCCTACAAACAGTCCAACCAATCTACAACTACCGCCACTGGATTTGATCAAGCATCCCTTTTGTTTTCTTTAGACATAATCCCAAAAGATAATACTTGAATTGAACTTAGATGGACACCACTTATATGGTGTTTGGAAGTGTGGGCTATTTTTGGGACCGATTTTCAAGAAAAAACGTCCATGCTTCCAAAACCCACTTTTCACACAAAAAAAAAAAATGCTTCTACCACGTAGGCAATGAGCAACATTATGTTGTTTGGTAAGATGATTTTCATCACTGTTTTTCATGTATGTGCTGACAGGTAACCACCACATAGGATATACATCAATCAACTGTTGGAAGAAATGATTCACCAATATACATCAATGGAGTCCCGATTTTCGAGACATATCCAATTTTTTAATAATCAGCTAAACCAAACAATAAAATACATGAACATTTATTGAAACACTTATATAAATCCGACGTATGACTGTTTTTTTGAAAAATGGCCTCAGTTCCAAACATCCCCTTAATTAGAAATGTCATATAATTCCATCTTCAATTTTGCTTATAAATAAAGCGCTGCATTCGCAACGGGTCCTGACTAGCACTCATCAACCAAAGATGCCCTTACCTTTTAATTCGACACGAAGCTGGTTTTAATATCTTACGTGGGACAATTAAATCGCTGAATTGTACACGTGGGAGTTAGTTTTGGTTAGGGAACGTTTGTCCTTTACTAATTTCAAAAGAATCAAAATACATGTATAAGCGGAGATAATGCACCCAAGCCAAGCGACTCCTCTCTTTCTCTCTCTCCTCCCGTTCCGGCTCCCGCGAACCGGAAATGGCGCTGCTGCTAACCTCACATCCTTCGCTTCTCCTCAAACACCCCAAAACGCTTCGTCTCTACTCTCTCCGTTCCCTAAATCCTTCTTTATCCTTCTCCCTAACCTCCCCAAGCTCCAAATTCTCTTTCCTTCGTGTCCGTTCTTCATTATCCGGCGAAACTCCCGATCAATTCCCCGGTCGATATTCAGTAAACAAGCCTCCAAAAAATCAAATTTCCAATAAGAAATCCTCTGCCAAATCTTCCGGGAAGATCTACGCTGAGCAGAAAGATGATGGGACTTCTTCTGCGGGCATTACCGACGAATGGGGAGAGAAAGCTGAGCCCGAAGCAGAGACTTCGTACACGAAGTTCTCTGATGCTGATCCTCCCAAAGATGAAGACGAATGGGAAGGAAATAAGGAGAGCGCGTCAGGGAATGGCAGTGCGGCCTTGTACGATAAGCTTGGGGACTTGAAGCGGAGCTTGGTTGATACTGTTTATGGTACTGATTTTGGGTTCCAAGCGTCTGCAGAAGTTAGAGCGGAGGTTTTGGAATTGGTTAATCAGCTGGAATCTTCGAATCCCACTCCTGCTCCCTTGGAGGCTACATCCCTTCTTGATGGAAACTGGATATTACTGTAAGTGGGTTTTCTTGGTTTTAATTTCTTTTCTTAATTTTCTTGGTTCTAGTTGTCAACGGCTTGCATGTGAAGAGGTGCTGTTCTTTGAATTGATTTTAATATTATCGACTTGTCTGTGGAACGGGAAATGGTCATATTAATCCAGTATTAGAATCATACACAAATGACAACACCAAAGAGCAATTGAATAATGGGACACAATAAGATATGGCGCAGATTCTGGTTGATAATAAAATGGTTTCTTGTTTGCGGGGAACGCAGTAACATGCAGTTGGAGCCAGCTAGTTGTTTGATTGAAGCAGAGGGGAGTTCAATGAATTGGTAAAGTGAGAAGGGCATCTGGACAACAAGAGTGATTAAACAAGAGTCATGCAATAGGAGAAACCCATTGTCTGAAAAAGAATAGGGAAAATTATCTAATTATACTGAGTAAAAGATCAGTAGTAAGTACTTGGAGGGAAAATTATCTTCTCTATACGATAAATTAGTTTATTTTCTTTTTATTATTGATACCAAGTACCTGTTAGAAAAGGAAAGAGATAACCGCTGCTTCAAAACATGAATCTCTCTCTCTCTCTCTCTCTCTCTCTCTCTCTTGTGTTTTCTGTTCTTCGGCTAGCATCTACCATCTTGTAGTAAAGAAGCTGGAAGTAAATAAGAAGTGAATCGCTAATGGTAAATGCATATAATTGTTTGTTGAAGATGCAAAACTGCAGGAGAAAATGAAACTGGGAAAACAAATGGAATTTGATTACTTAGAAAGAATAGAGCTTCATCTATAAATGTTTCTGTTTTAAATTTAAAATAAGGGTTAGCGAGAGAGGATCAGAGAGACTCGCTTCCTCATCATTTGTTATTTTGCTTGTTCTGGATTCTTTTACTGACAGTTATTCTATCATGTATCATGTATGAGAAGTCAATTTTCCCAGATGAGGTATTAAAAGAACAAAATAATAATAATTATAATAATAAAAAGATATAATTACCATGTAGTTCCAATGTGCTCCAGCACTTCTCATACATTTATTCATCGTAGATATGCTATTAAAACAAACGATATAATTACCATTCCCAAAAAGAGGTTTTCTAGATTAATGTGCCTCGGATACAAGAAGCAAATGCAACAAAAACCAGAAAAATAAACATCAACATCAAGACCTACTCCCCCTGCACCCACACCCAAACACCAACAGCATTTCCTTAACTACCATAACAAAAGCAGTTTTTAGAAGCACTCTTTTCATCCTTCTCCCCCTCCCTCTCATATCTATGATGCTTTGGCCTCCCAGTTTCAATGAATAAGCCAATTTGACATCTCCTGTCAATTAAAGTTTCCTATTCTCCAATGCACTCAGCTCCACTATCAAACACTAACAGCACGCCCTGAACCACAAGAATAAAATGAAATTTTAACACCTCTCTTTTCATCCTTACCCCCTCCCCCTGCTAGGCCTCACCATCAGTTCGAATGAATAAAACCAATCCAACATCTCCTTTTCTCAATTAAAGTGTCCTATCCTCCAATACACTCAGTTGTACTGTCACGTCCTCTGTCCCTACTTACAACCTTTTGTTCTTATCCTAATTGGTCATTTTCCTCCAAGTAGTTAATGAAACTTCAAAACGAAATTTTCTCCAGCTTGGCCTTCCTCTCCTGTGGAGACTCAAAACTGAACAAAATGTTAATTTAATGGTGCATCCAATTGACTAGTGACCCCCAGACTCACTGTGCTGAATAACTATCACTCTCAGTCCACTTCTCCCAAACTACAATTTGATGAAGTATATCCCGTGGAAGCGATCCACTTCACCCACAAGTAGCCTCCTATGAATGCCCTTCTCATATCTGTTATGTTTTGTCATAATACATCCATTTCATCTCAAGACTTCTTATTACTTTCTTCTTATCATGTTAATGGTATTGACTACTATGATTTTTTTTTTATCATTGACTACTTTTATTCTTACTAATACTGTGCTTAGAATATCATCAGATGTAAACATTGTAGTCATTAACATGTTTGAGAATTCCAAGTGGAAGTAAGATAGTTGAGAACCTACAAAATGATAGTGCATTATTTAAAATAGAGCAAAATAAAGTACAGTTGGTTGGAGGAATGCTCTATGTAACAAATCACCTTTAAAAATGGTGCGTATCTAAATTCCTACTGAATAAAAATGTTGTTTAACTTACCCATCTGAAAGTCCTCCTAAGAGGGTTCTACATCTTTGTTTCCATTTTACATGTGCTATTGCCTGAAGAATACTTTTTCAATTCTATTACTCCTTCAAAGGGGCTTCTTGCTGCATGTTGATAGGAATGACAACGGGTGGGGATCATATTCCCCATCCCCGACCCCAATTTTGAAATTAATCCCCATCCCCATCCCCATCCCCAATCTCTGCCGGGGATAAAAGTTGTCCTCCATCCCCAATCCCCGACGGGGCGGGTTCCCCACGGGACCTGAATCCCCGAAATTTTTTTAGATAACAGTATTTTTTGAAAAATAAATTTACTTAAAATAAATAAAAATTTTAAAATCTAAATAATGTTATATATATATATATATATATATATATATATATATAATCAGGGTCAGGGTGGGGTCGGGGAAGTCGGGTCCCCATCGGGGATGGGGAAAATTGCCATCTCTACATGTTGACAATTCTGTTGCCTCACTCTCCTTACAAGTACAAAAGCATAGAGGAATCATATGTAAAATATGAATTTTGGTGCACGTAGTTTGTACATTAAATATTTAATTAAGTTCTCATCTTTCCCTTTCTAACAATTAACATAGTTTTGTCCTTCAAAGAAAGTATTGTAAAGTATTACACCATTAGAAGAAGGGCAACTGGAGAAATGCACCACGGCCCCCCCTATGGTTCAGAAATCCCCTCAGGAATACAATTTTCCATGTAAATTTCCCCTCTCCCCCCACCCCCCACCCCAATGGTTGGCTCCCCCTATGGGCACATCCATATTTATTCCCCCCCCCCCAACCACCAATCTACTTAGGTTTTTCCCCCCCTCATAAATAATTCCTGTCTCCGCCCCTGCACTAGATCCATTACTAATTGTACTTAGAAACTATATTAAGTACAGCGTATAACGCTTTTTTGCACTCTGTGTTGCAAATATATATTCTTTAAATGATGATCCTTATCTTGAAGCCTTTTAAAGTATCAATTATAGTTTAGTTTATTTTATTCCTTTACTTTTAGTCTTTTACATATATATTATTGTCAAAATCTTCTGAGTTAAATTTAATTGCCATTGATCTGAAAGGCATGATAGATATGTATATACATTATTATACTACTTTTCACTCCAATCTCATTTGCTAGTTATTCTGCCAATCAGACAATCTTCTTTTCTTAGTTGAAGTAAAATCATCATTTAAAAATTATATATAGTTTTTTCTCTCTTTATAATATCTGTGATGAGCTTGACCTTTTGGAATTTTAACCCGTGGCTGCTCCAGAAATGCTCTATGGAGTAATGTCGAGCAATGAAGAATCATCTGATCAATAAATGATTATAGCAAAGATGAAGATGTTTACATGGACAGTTTGCAACCTTAGATAAAAATAGGATTATAAATTATTTCATTTGTGCTACTCTAGTAGTAACCCCAACAGGTGATAAAATAAAGAAGAAAACTAACTAGAAGGGTTTGACCATCTGCTTAGAAGACCAGCTATTGCACCAGCAGGATGGAATTGTTTATGAAAGAAAAGCTCAGGAAGGCCAAAAGGGACATGGGTTGTGGTAGTGAGAAATGATCTGGGAGCTCACAATTTGATAGAGGTCATAGCCCGTGATAGAGTGAATCAACAGGATCCATATAGCTGATCTCCCCCTCCCCCTCCACCCCAAGTTGATTGATGGCATCAATTTTCTATTGTCATTGTATTGGAATATTGAGGCAATGAGAAAGAATACATTAAATATATGGTGTGACAGTAAGGGTTAAGTGTGTTTGAGCTATGACCCAAAAGTGATCAATAATCTTCATTGAAAGAGGAATCTAGAAAGGTTTAGTATTATGGAACAATATTGGGGGAAACGTTCAGTAGACTTTTTTGTTTATGTTCCAGTGAGAGGTCTGTGAGATTTGAATTGAAGATTTTCTCTGGATTTGTCTGCCATTCATTTATAAACTTTTATTTGTACTAATCAAAATAAAATAGCGGTATTTTAACAGCTGTTGTGATGTTTTATGAGTAGGGTCCTTGAATCGTGTGGTCAACCCCGCATTATTGGGACTCGGGATAATTCTTAATAGATAATGTTGATGATGATCTTATGTTGGTTTGTTTGGTTCATTAGGTACACGGCATTTTCCGAGCTCTTGCCTCTTCTGGCAGCTGGGACAACTCCATTATTTAAGATTAAAAGGATATGCCAAAAGATCGACACCAAAAGCCTCGCCATAGAGAACTCCACTGCACTCTCTAGTCCTTTTGCTACTTTCTCCTTTAGTGCGTCTGCTACTTTTGAAGTCCGAGGTCCTTCAAAAATGCAGGTACTATCACAAGCCACATGCGAGTTCAGATGAATTAGATTGCATAAAACATAAAGAGTAACTTGATTAGATAGATTTAGTTTGTAATCAGTTGAACAATTTCTCACATCCTTTTAAGGGTTGTTCAAATAGAATTTCAAGTCTTCAGAATTGTTTCAGTTACTGGATAAGGAGCATTGCTTCTATCCTCAAAAGGAACGCATAAACCTCCTCCATTAGAGACCATGTCTGTGAATAGTTATCCCTTGACTTTTAATCTGCAGGTCAAATTCACGGAAGGGGCCTTCCAGCCACCAGAAATAAAGTCTACTGTTGATCTTCCTGAAAATGTAGAAATTTTTGGGCAGAAGATTGACTTAGCACCCATACAGCAGTCTCTCAAGCCTCTGCAAGATGCTGTAGCAAGCATTTCTCGGGCAATCTCTGGCCAGCCACCTCTCAAGCTTCCAATTCCAGGGGAAAGGTCTCAGTCCTGGTTGATAATAACATACCTGGATAAAGATCTTCGGATATCAAGAGGCGATGGTGGCTTGTTTATTCTTGCAAAAGAAGGTAGTTCCCTGCTAGATCAGTAGCCATCAATTTCATGTAACCCCCCCCCCCCTGTCTCTGCTGAAATCCAATAAATTTTGTGTATTCCATTGTACTGTTGTGTTCTATACATCTATGGTTTTTCTATTGCTGTGTACTGTAATGTACATCTGTAAGTTTTCTATTAGGCATCAATGGACAAAAAGAATTCCTTTACCACATTTTCCTGAATTCTTGGTCGGGATTCTCCTTATTAACTTGACCTCTTCTAGGACCTCATCTTCGGTTTACAATTTACCATAAATAACTTTTGAAACCTGACCTCTTGACTGAACCCAGCCACTGGTTTTAACAGATTGGATTAAAGCCTGGTCAGATGTGTAAATAGTATAGAGGAAAAAGCCAAAGAAAGGGTCTTCAGTCGAAGGAAACAAATCGTCTGTTTGGCATCGATGTCGTTCCTTTAGAAAACGGTGATACATCAGCGCCACGTCAAAAAAACGGTTCTCTAGGAAATGTCTGTTTGTTTTAGAACTGTTTTTCTATAAAAAACGGTGTTCTAAGCTACGCCATAGAAATTGAAAAAGCATGGTATGGAGTAATGTCGATTTGACATTTTCTCAGATTGGAACTCGTATATAGACTTCCTATAATGGGTATCAGTGTTGAAAACAGATATAGAGCATAGGTACCAAACAAAAAGTATTGCTGTTGCTCCAATAAATAATGTACTATCTGACAATAACATTTCTAAACAAAAAAAGACGTCATTTTTTCAGAAAACAGTGATTCTAATCCATCATTGGCAGCACCGTTTTCTCAGTGCCGTATCTGCAGAATCGATGCCAAATATATACAAAAGCAACAAGAGTCAAGTAGCCTAATTTTCCGAAAGTCATATCCAAAAGAGATTGGATTTGGGATAAATAGCTTTGTATTGGGTTTTGGAGTTTGGCTTGCTCAACATACTGTGACAAATGAGAGGTGTGCCTTGTTAAACTGGGCTTTTATTTTTTTCACAAACAAGCTGCAATTAACCAGCCCAAAAATTTTAAAATAAGTTCTTGGCTTGGCCATGAATGCCGGTGTATTTGGCGTCAGTTATGGTCATTAATGGAGCCCTGGTGCATTATGCCGTTATATTATATACACTAAGGGTCCGTTTTGTTCACAGTCAAAATTGGAATTGGAATGTCTATTTTTATAGTTTGTTTCATTCATACAAGAATCTAAATGGAAATTAGAATCAGTTAGAATAGAATTTCATTCCCAAAGAAGGGGAAGGGAATAGTCATAAACAATGGGGTTTGATGTAATCGTTGCTGGTCACGTACCAATTTTTTTTGTGATGTATCAATTTTTTGGCTAAATACCTTGTCACTTGACCTGCTCCTAGGTGGCCTGTGACTCAGAGGATGATGGAGCTCCCTGGTGGCGAATTGTCTAGTGGTGAACTACTTGGTGGCGAACTCCCTAGTGGTGAGCTACTTGGTGGCGAGCTCCCTGGTGGTGAGCTACTTGGTGACGAGCTCCTTGGTGGTGAGCTACTTGGTGACGAGCTCCCTGGTGGTGAATTACTTGGTGACGAGCTCCCTGGTGGTGAGCTACTTGGTGACGAGTTCCCTGGTGGTGAGCTACCTTGGTGAGCTCGTCATTTAACCTGCTCCTAAGTGGCCTATGACTCAGAGGATGGTGGAGCTCCCTAGTGTAGCGCAACCCGACTGCCCTCTGCATCAGGTGATCTTCTCCTCTTTGTAGACGGTAGGAGCTGAGGAACCTACGAGAACTGAATCAGAGGACCCGGGGGTGTTTACCCGGCGGGGACTCTCCGATGCTTAAGTTAGCACTCTCATTGTAGAGAGCTTGAAGATGATATTAGAGAAATGAGAGAGCTAGAGAGCAGGGGTTACCTCCATTTTTTCATCCCCCTTTCCCTAGGGGGGGTGAGGTCTTTATATACTGGTGATCTGACATGTAACCGCCTCTGATTCTCTACCGCAGCTGTTATTTTCCAGGGCTGAGCTGGTGGGTGCAGGTAACCGTTGCAGGGTAGGGTCCTGTCAGGCAGTAAGCAACCACCAGAGCTGGCAGGTGCGGTTCCGTCAGGCGAGAGGCATGGGTACAGTCTTCTGGTACGGTTGTTAGACAAAATGCTTCTCGTGAGGCCCTGGACGAGCTCCTTGATGATGAGCTCAGAGCTGCCTGGTGGCGAGCTCCTTGGTGATGAGCTCTGGACTGCCTGGTGGCGAGATCCTTGGTGATGAGCTCTGGGCTACCTGGTGGCGAGCTCCTTGGAGAGCTGCCTAGCTCCTTGCAGAGCAACCTAGCTCCTTAGTAGTGAGTTCCTTGGAGAGCTGCCTAGCTCCTTGGTGGCGAGCTCCTTGGTGGCGAGCTCCTTGGCGAGCTCCTTGGTGAGCTGCCAAGCTCCTTGCAGAGCTGCCTAGCTCCTTGGTGAGCTGTCGAGCTCCTTGGCAAGCTCCTTGGCAAGTTCCTTGGTGAGCTAGTGAGCTCCTTGGTGGTGAGCTCCTTGGAGAGCTGGCGAGCTCCTTGGTGGTGAGCTCCTTGGAGAGCTGTCGAGCTCCTTGGTGGCGAGCTCCTTGGAGAGCTGCCGAGCTCCTTGGAGAACTGCCGAGCTCCTTGGTGGCGATCTCCTTGGCGAGCTCCTTGGTGAGCTACCGAGCTCCTTGGCGAGTTCCTTGGTGAGCTGCTGAGCTCCTTGGTGGCGAGCTCCTTGGCGAGCTCCTTAGAGAGCTGCCTAGCTCCTTGGTGGCGAGCTCCTTGGTGAGTTGCCGAGCTCCTTGGCGAGTTCCTTGGCTGTCATGAGGTGTCAGGTGTCATAATTCCACTGGAGGGCCAAATCTGCCCTCATCATTTGCCCCCCATTCCCGAGTTGAGAGTAACTCGGCGAAGGGAGTAGATTTCTCCTTTTGGCCCGTAAGTCGACGAGCTAGTAAGCACTGATCTAATTCTTAGGCTCTGGGAGCTGCCTGTAAGTGGCAAGCTACCTGTAAGTGGCGAGCTACCTGTAAGGTGAGGAGGTCTCCGCCAGTTTAGTACTATAGCCCTTAGGCTCTGGGGGGGCAACTTATAGTCCACTTTTGGTGATTTTGCCCATGCTGAAGAAGTGACTGGGTCTTAAGCAATAATGTGGCCCGTAGGCTTTGGGAGCGACTCATAGTCCACTCTTCTTGACTTTGCCCATGCCGGAGAGGCAACTAGGTATTAAGCGGTTGTGTTGCCCATGCCGTAGAGGCGACTGGGTTTTTCAGCAGTAACATGGCCCATAGGCTTTGGGAGCGACTCGTAGTCCACTCTTCTTGACTTTGCCCATGTCAAAGAGGCGATTGGGTCTTAAGCAGTTGTGTCAAGGTCTCTGCCTGTGAGGCGCCGAGCTACCTGTAAGGTGTCGGGGTGACCGGGTGCCAAGCTACCTGTGAGGTGTCGAGCTGACCAGGTGTCGAGCTGCCTGTGAGGTGTCAGGCTGACCGGGTGCCGAGCTGACCAGGTGCCGAGCTACCTATGAGGTGT